TATAGAGCTGCTCCTCAGTAGGAGGTGAAGAGTGAATGAGCCTCTCCTTCATGACTTGGATGAAGGAGAAGGGTTGAAAATTAGGAGTGTGTCCACACAACATGCTTTATGTGCAGGTTTATGGTCTCATGTAAGTGTATATTTTGACCCAGATGTGTCTATAATTTTTTTTAATGATTTTTATGCGAGTAATTTTAAGTTCTGGACCACATGATAAAGCTCTTCATTGTACTGTACCATGCACTGAAAAGCGTGGCGATTTGGGCTGGATGCTGTGTGTCTGGACATTAGTGTTGCTGTTTTTTCAAAGCCTGCAAAGCAGTGAGAAGAGCCAGAATGAGAGAACATTGGTGTCAGCTCCTCATAGCTGATGCTACTGCTGTTCTTGAATGGCACACGCTGTGAATACTTTAATTTCCTATAGCTTTGAACATTAGAAAGATGGAGGGAACTGGTAGACATGTTAATCAAATGCTCACTGTTGTGATTTTCTTCTGTGTCTCTAAGTTTTGCATTTGACCATGAATTGTATGTTTGGACATTTTCTTTGTATGTCCTGAAATGTTCAGTTACTGTGGCCATTTTTGACCTGGACCTTAAGTACTTGTTTTTCAATCTTTTTTTCATGGCCTCATGATGAATGCCTCAGAATTCTCTACACACTGTGTGACTTTGTGCTTTGGTTGTCGGTCCAAATTGTGGTCCTACTGTTTAGAGATTAGAGCTTTGATGACCAAAGACATGAGATATTTAGCACCAAATGGTCTTTATAATAGTACTATTAAAGCCCGCACCTGCAAACCAGTGAGTCTGAGTAAGACATGAGACACACACTGTCCAACCCAACACATATGCTCAAATTGGTAACACATTAGCTGTGTATTATATAAGTGCGTCATTGTTAATGTGACAAAATGTTTAAAAAATAAATTGCGGCAAGGCCCTTTATTGATGTTCTGGTATACCCCAGCAGATGGTGTCTGCCTATTATCATGAAACTAAATGTATAGATAGTAGCAGATAGGCAACTGTCTGCTGTGGAGAAACATTGAATGAAAGTTCCAGAACGGCTACAAAGGGAATCTTGTGATGAGATGAGTTGCAAAGAAATAAACTTTAAACCTAGAAACAACAAACAATAATATACAGTTAATACAGTAAAACGTGAGTGACATCGTCATGGAAGATGGTGGGTTGACATGTTATTGCTTGTTTTTGTTTTCAGAAATGAAATTATTTGTCTGTTCATCACTGACAGAAAGTTAATCTGGAGTTATCTTGATCACTGAACAATTCTTGAAGTCAGTTTAAGCATAATGCAAAAAATTTACTCCATCTTTTCAAATTTCAATATATTTTTAATAAAAAAAGGGATTCGTTTGGTGTGTTTAAAAAGCAAAAGTAATTCAGATACATCACATTGTCAGCCCTCTTGCTTTCTGTGTATGTTATACTGATGTGATTGATAAGCATTCTGACTTGCCTCAGCAGTGCCATGACATGAGCACACTAATGGTGACCCAGGTTGTGTTACATCCATCTCTTGTGTCACAGAATGAGCCTGAGATAGCTGCTGTCACACAGTGTGTAGGGTTTGCAATCATGCCAATATTGTTCTCATGACTCTCCTGTTAGTACAAGCAGGCCAATGAAAGCATGTCTTATTTCAGAATGGTGACACAAAAAAATAAAACATTTCGTTGATCCAAGGCCTCTTAACCAAGTATTAATTTGCACCACTTTTTACAAAGGGGCTGTTGTATTTTTGTGTTTAAAGAAACATTTGTTAAGCTTTTATATTTGTGTGACAAAAGACAATGAAAAATATGGTTCAGGTATGAAATGGCCAGAGACTTTTGTCATTACTTTCTGTACTTTAAAAGCATTACATGTCAGTGCACTCGAGGGACTGCCACACAAATGCTGTAAGGACTGCAGGGAAAGCCTTTTGCCACCAATAACCTCCCCCAAAGTCATTAGCATTGCTGAACCACATGCTACAATACAGGCTACTTGTGTACAGCCTCAAACCTCTAACACTTGATATGTGGATCAGATTGCAGAGTTAAGCAGAATCACCAAGCAGATTGATTTCTGAATCTCTCTCTCTCTCTCTCTCTCTCTCTCTCTCTCTCTCTCTCT